ATATTGCTGTCTGAGGAAGATTGGTTACTAGTTGATATATGCTAGTGCATTTGATGAGCTTGGTGTTCAATTGTCAATTAAATAACAATCTTGAAGAATTTGTGCCTTGTTCAAAATTAAGACAATTTTTTAAAATATTTGCTTTGGTTTAAGTGTGGGAGAAGAAGACACTGTCTTGATTAATGCATCTGTGTTATCTTTGTTTCTTTGTACTTTCATTTCTTATATTTTATTAATTTTTACATAGGTTCAACTGTAGAGAGGTTCTGCCAATAATTACCTCCTTGTATATTCTGATCCAGTTCTATCACCCTTCATTTGTAATCCTATTAAAGCCCTTGTGAAACAACACCTTGCCAAAATGTGCGAAACATCTTCCAACTTGGTGTTACTGATTGAGTCATTTATAGTAATAATTTCTAATCAGAATGATTGAATAGAAAATTCTTTAACATCTTCCTGTCTTGTTGTCTATCCTATGTTTTTTCATTTCTGATTGTAGCTTTATAAATTTTAAATGGCTGCTTTATTTTCTAGACTTCAACCATGGTTCCTATTTGTGCCATCAATGATTTACCTTACCATACGTTCTTTTTTCACTTCTCTTGACATTTTCTGTTTATGGTGATTTTCTCATTAGAAGAAAAAAATTGAAAACCTTTGGTTATTTATGTCTAAAATCGCTTGCATGATGTGTTGTTCATTCAGGCATGCATTGATTCTTCTTAATATGCTTGTATCAGGTACCTGGCGTGCCTCTGATATATGGTCTCAGAAATGCACTTTTTCTTGAATCACCATCTGCATTTCAGCGGCAATGTGTGAGAACTTGTGAAGAAGGAAGATTACACATGACTGAGAAAGAGTACAAGATACTTAAGGATAGGGTGATGAATAGATCGATGGATGAGGAGTCAGGGGATCAGACCATAAATGAACCGGCAGTAAAAAAGATTACTGCGGTAAGGAATAGGATGGAAATCAAGGATAAACCTCAGTTCAAGAGAAAAAGAGCTAAGGTTATAATTCATCTTCCTAGTTTGAATTTTTGTTACTATATATCTAGGCTTTTAATTTCATATGAAAATTTGTAGGAAATTAAATTGCTATTATCATAGGTAGTTTAACATGTTCTCATATTGTGAGGGATTAGTTTTTATAATTCTATTATTTCCCATAACTTTTTGTTCTATTAATTATGTAATTATTTGATTTATTTTTCATCACAATGAAAGTGCAGACACATAATGTATGTGACTGGAAGGAGGTTCATGATGGCATTCTGTTTTTTTCATATTTTTATCTAAAATAAAAGCTGTTATCAATGAAATTATATGGCTTTATTATGTATGTTAGGCTTGTCGCCGTCCTGTCATATTTCTTGTCACTGGAAAGCATAGTATTTTCGAGCATTGACTATTTAAGTGCAGGCATTAATTAGAATAACGGTAATCTCTATGTTTATGTATTATTACACTTTTTTAGGAAAGATTGATGATTGAACTTAATAAGTTAATAACTTGAGTAAAGTTGTTTTATTACTTTTAGCAGTTTATGTTTCCATATAGTATTATCATGATAATGCTTTTTAAACTTTGCAGGGTCCAAACCCACTTTCATGCAAAAAGAAGAAGAAAAGTGAAAACCAAAATATTGGTCTTTCAAAGGTATGGTTAGCAAAACTTATGTGTTTTTTTTTTTAATTGAGCACATAAACATTGAGCTTAAACTGAATCCACTGCTAATGTTTCCTACTTTGTAATCTGATTATGTGTCTGAATATTATTAGTTGTCATGGAATTCCATAGAATGGTTTTAGTATATTTCATATGTAGCTGTGTTGTGGTTGTGAGCAAATTCTATTGCATTAGCACTCATAGAATGCATCAGCTATAGGGTTATATATTTTAAATTAATTTTACAATCTCTAAAAGATGAATTTTGTTTCCTAGAGATTTCTTACATGTTCCCGTTGTTGCTAATCAGGAAAGGGAAGGAGGAGACAAGAAGAAAAGGAAGAGAAATAGGAAACGGAACATATCAGCAGAAGGATGTAGTTAGGTTAGGAGCTTCTCATGAGTGAAAAAAAAAAAAAATCTTCCATTGCTTCATGGAAGGGAAAATAGGTATCTGGATTAGTTGTATGTTGAATTTTATGCTACCATTGGTTTATAATCCAAATTGATCTGATATGCTTTAAATGAATTTTGTATATTTGTATGAAATTATTGTCAATTTGATTCGATACGAATTAATTTTTTTTCTGACAGATCTTGTCAAGTATAAGCTTTGTCCATTGGATTTGACTGCATATATTGTATTGAAGATTTGTCAACCTATTTTGTTTCAGAAGAAAACAGAAATATATGTCATCTGTCATTAAATTATATAAGAACTTATTGAAGATCTTAAGTAAAATTGGTGTTGATGCAAGAATGAACCTTCTATGAAATTTACAAGGGATTACAAACAAATCAGATGAGAAAACTTATGAAAAATATCACTGTTCATACTTAAACATTATAATTTTTTTAAAATGTAATATCATCTCGAATGAGATGACAAGATAAATCAAATGATCTTACGTGTTACATGATAATTTTTTTTAAATGTAATATCATCTCATATACGTTATGACAAAATACATTAGATGATCATGGTGTTAAAACATAACGCATTATTTGTTTATTTTTGTTTAATTTGATTTATATATTCAAGAAAAATCCATTCAGTCATTTAATTTAAAAAATTACAACCATGTAATTTTTAAGTTTGTCAAATTTTAAAAGTACTATGACTTCTCTAATAATTAAAATTGATGTTACTAATTTTGTAAATTATCATACCCAGCTAAAAATTATATGTGTAAATCAAACTAGATAATATTGGTATATGTTAACAATTTTACAACTAGTTAAATAAAAAATATGACATTGTAGTGTTTTTAAAAATTTAAAAGCTTAACTAAACCATTTTATTAATAATATATATTGAATAAAATAAATAAATCATGATATTAAAAAGGTAATTAGGTTAAATAAAAAAATATTAAATTAACAGTCTCTTACACTTTTGATTTCATATTTGTGAAAAAAAATATATTTAATTGTATTTTTAAATTTAAAAGTAATATTAATTTGTTTTTATTAAATATATATCTTTGTTTAATTAATATTAATGTGTGTATTAGATTGAAAATCATGTATTAGTTAAGAAATATAGACTTCAAAATTTGAAGGATATATTTATTTTCTTGAGAAAAATATGATACTCAAATATGATCATATAATCTTTCTAATAAAAAAATAAATGTTTTATAACTAATTTTGTTTTAAAATATATTTTTTTAGTTTAATAAATTGTGATTTTGAAAACACTTGAACTAGTCAACTACTAATTTATTATATGATTCATTTATTAAGTAAAACTTGGCAAATCATATTGTTAAAAATTAAATTATTTTCAATATCTTCAATATATTTATGACCTTTAATCTATGACTTTAATAATCAACATGGTACAAGGGACCGTGCAACAATGTTCATATCATAGGCATGTTTTAGACACAATTTCACTTTAAAATAGAGTATGTAAAAAGAAGAGAGTTAATAGTGAATGCAATTTTAAATAAATGCCAAAACACAATCAGAGCAAGCATTATATAAAGTTAAAATATAGATGTCAAAAAAAAAAAATCAAACATTCCCTATGACACAACAAATTAAAAACATCTATTATTTAAGATTTTTTAGATGCAAATAATAATAATAAATAATATTTTTTTAAACATGATAAATAAATTTTTTAAAGCTATAAATTATACTATAGATACTTATATCATGATAATAATTATGAATTATTTATAAAAAAATAATATTTTTATCAATTTTTAAAATCACTTAATACTAAATACATTGATAAACATATGAAAATGTTTTCTTATTTCTACATTGTTAATGTAATGAATATTTATTACTTGATAGATGTTAAATTTCACCATATTATAGATAGTGACTTGACTTTCTTCACACTCACATTCACTTTTCTAATAATGTTGAAAATTGAAAATTGAAGAAAACTTAAATTTGATTTGATTCAGTTCAACTATATATTTTGTTTAATCATTAAAGATTTAAGATATATATAATATTTTACCATAACTCGCTCATTCAAACCACGCTAATAAATACATAAACAACAATATTTTTAGAGAAATTAATTTTAAAATATAAATAAATGATCAATAAATGTTATTAAATAATTTATAATGGTTAATATATATTTAATGTTATCATAATTTGAAACATTAATTGTATAATTAATGATTATTATTACACTTTATTATCTAAAATTCATTTTCTAACTTAAAACAAGTAAAATATTTAATACTTATGTAATGTTTATCATGGTTTAATGATTATAACAATTTATATTTATGTCTTGACCCATCTTTTTATTTACATATATAAATACACATATGGATGAGAGATTTACAATTATTATATAATTTTTTTTTAATTTAACAATTCAATAATGTACTTTTTATCATATTTAATAGAAGACATCCTAACACCACATTAACAATTTTTTTTTTAATTCAATTAAGTTTCTTTAATATTTAAGATAAGACAAAGAAAAATTGGGATTGGTTACCATGTTTGAATTAGGATGAGAGTAAATATATATTATGACACAAATCTAAAAAAAGGTGTAAGAAATTCCAAATGTTAATCTGCAGGGTTGAAGAAAGAAGAAGATAAAAATTTGTCCAAGAAATTGAGTGAAATACCAAGATTGCCCCAACCCCCAAATAAAAACCAAAGACATTTCTCCCTCTCCTCTCGAGCAATAGGAACACAGCAATAGCTTCTGGTGATCTCGTTTTCTTACAGTGCTCTTCCCCCTTTCTCTCTCCTCTCTTTTTTCTCTATTTCTCTCTTTCTCTCTCTTCCATTGTTTCTCCACAAGTAACGCCACGCAAGGTCAATTGCATAATCGTCATGACTGTGATGACTCCTGCTCCCATTGACGTACGGTTTTTTACCCTTACTCTGCAACTCACCGAGCTCCCTTACGCGGCTTCAATCACTCGCAGTGTTTCAATTTCGCTTCCTGTCCCTCGTTTTGTCTCGTTTGCTTGCATGATTTTGTTCCTTTTGCTGTTCTGGCTAATGGTGTCAATTTGATTGGCGCTTTGGTGGGAGGGTTGGGTTGGCGGGGAGTGATGGGGTTTCGTCTAGGGGTTGTGGTTTTGATCTGGCTGACTAGAATTTGTTTAAATTACGATGCATTTCGTGCTCAGATTTTAGGGATTTAATTGGCCTTGGTTCTTCGGTGGATCCGAAGTACGGTGGATAGTGATTATTTTTTGTTTGGTGTTTGGTCCTTGCAGCAGCAGGAGGATGAGGAGATGCTTGTCCCACATACTGATTTGGTGGAGAATAATCACCAACCCATGGAAGGTACTTGTTGCTTTCTCACTCTTTTGATCCGTCCAGAAACCCCGATATTTTTGTCATTCTATCTATTGGCTTTTATGTGATCGATTGATATTGCTCTTAAAGTACAGGGAGCCACTCCATGCATTTTTTTGATTGACAGAGAGACAGATAAGAAAGGACCAAGTGACGAATGTGTCTAAGAGTTTTAGGTTTTCTAGACAAAAAACTATTTCTAGTTAGTTTGCATTTTGGGGATGTTGTGTATTTTCAATGTCTTCATTGATGGTGTTATTGTCTTTCTCACTCTTTCTGTTTTACACATTCTTTTAACAAGTTGAGAGTCTAGTTCTTTTGTTCCTTCCCTTGATTTTCAGCTGATTTTTATAATCTGCTTTTGTTCTGTTTCATCTAATATTTTAATTTTGAAAAACTTCCTTTTTTTTTTGTTACTGATCTAATTTTAAAAATTGATAAGCTTGGATAGAAATTCGTGGTCTTTGGGAGACGACCTAGGAAAGCTTCCTAGTACTAAGTTGTTCTTTTTCATTTATTTTGATGATCATTAGTTGTGGCACAATCTGATGCTGCCAACACTGTGGAGAGCCAGCCTGTAGAGGATCCTTCGTCAACAAGATTCACATGGAAAATTGACAACTTTTCTAGGATGAATTCAAAGAAGCTCTATTCAGATATATTTGTTGTTGGTGGTTATAAATGGTATGACAATGTGTTTTCGCATTGGTTTAGTTGATTAATGATGTGCTTATCTTTAATGATCTCTTCTGACTCTTCTCTTTACTGAGCAGGCGTGTACTTATTTTCCCAAAAGGGAATAATGTGGACTATTTGTCCATGTATTTGGATGTTGCAGATTCATCCAGTTTGCCCTATGGTTGGAGTAGATACGCACAGTTTAGCTTGGCCGTTGTTAATCAAATCCATAATAAATATTCTGTGAGAAAAGGTAGTCTCTCAAGTTTGTTCCTTGCAATTGTTACAAGATGATGTACCTTATATGCATGTAAAAAAGATCATTGCTTGAACTAGAAGTATAGAAAGTTGTCGGATTTTTGTTACAATTAATTTAAGAACAGTTTATATATAAACTGTGTATTCATTTCCTTGTAACATTGGATCCAAATCTGGATATATTATATTACTATCTTGAATGAACTGTTATCATTAACATGCTAAATAAAACAAAGGTCTCATTAATGAATACTCTAATGGCACTGGTTGTTGGTTAAGAAATAAATGGAAAGCATTTACTGTTATTTAATAATTTGAATTCCTAGTCATTAGTCTTTACCATGAAACAAAAGTAACGAGGAAAGAAAGTGAAAATGCTCATTGTTTTTGGGTATACTCATGCCATATGTCTTGTTCTAACTTCATTTTACATGATGTAGACACGCAGCACCAATTCAATGCGCGAGAAAGTGATTGGGGTTTCACGTCCTTTATGCCACTCGGTGAATTGTATGATCCTAGTAGAGGGTATCTTGTGAATGACACTCTTATAGTTGAAGCCGAGGTTCTTGTTCGTAGAATTGTTGATTACTGGACTTATGATTCAAAAAAGGAGACTGGCTATGTTGGTCTTAAGAACCAGGGTGCTACATGTTATATGAATTCTCTGCTCCAAACTTTGTATCACATTCCTTATTTTCGAAAGGTCAGGCTCTATTTTTTTTTTTTTTTTTTTCATCTTAAATTCAGTTGTTTGACTGGATAGTGACGAAGAAGTTGGGACTTGGGTTCTGGTGGTCATATTTCAGGCTGTGTACCATATGCCAACAACAGAGAATGACATGCCCTCTGCAAGCATCCCTTTGGCTTTGCAAAGTTTATTCTACAAGCTCCAGTATAGTGACACCAGTGTTGCAACAAAGGAGCTCACTAAATCTTTTGGATGGGATACATATGATTCTTTCATGCAGCATGATGTTCAAGAACTGAACAGAGTCCTTTCTGAAAAACTTGAAGACAAAATGAAGGTAACGGATGGCCTTTTGGATGTTTTGTACACAAGTTTTTCATGGAATACGATCTTAAATTCATGATGATTGTGTTTAATTTGTCATTAGGGAACTGTTGTTGAGGGAACTATACAGAAATTATTTGAAGGGCATCATATGAACTATATTGAGTGCATCAATGTGGACTATAAATCAACTCGAAAGGAGTCATTTTATGGTACTTTCATGTGCACTCCAAAGTTAATTATTTGTTTAATTGTACCTTGCCACTTGATTCTAATTTAGTTTTCAATATGCTTGCAGACCTTCAGCTTGATGTGAAAGGCTGTCCTGATGTTTATGCTTCCTTTGACAAGTATGTTGAAGTTGAAAGTCTTGAAGGGGACAACAAATATCATGCCGAACAATATGGTTTGCAGGTTGGTTGCAATTGTTAATTTCTGAGTCTGCTTGTAGTAAATCATCTGTAGAAGTTATGGATCTTTAGTTCTTATATTTTGGCTTTACAGCAACATTTTTGCTGGCAAATTTTATGTTCTGAACTGAATCCTTTTAGTTTGTTATAGTTACTGTCAGAATGTATCATCTATACAACTTTTTTAATATACTTTCATGTATAAACTGACTATATTTCATTTTTTTTCAGGATGCTAAGAAGGGTGTCCTATTCATTGATTTTCCTCCTGTTCTTCAGCTTCAGCTAAAAAGATTTGAATATGACTTTATGCGGGACACTATGGTAAAGGTTGGTAGTCAAATAGACTCTGCTCTATATGATATTTTCTTCTCTAGGTACTGTATATGCTGCCATATGATAAAGTTAGCATTCAGTCTGAGTAAGGTGCAAACAATTTCTTCTAGCTCATCTATTAATGGTATTGAAGAATTTTTTTTTATTAAGTTAATTACTTATGCTGGACGATCTACTGTGATATCCTTCTGTATTTGCGGTATTTATTCATTACAAATTGTTACTTCATGCAAGAAAGTTATTCAGCGCATATTTTGTGTTGGACAATAGTGCCCCGTGATGTTGAAAATCAGGACATATTTCTGCAAGAATTTTTCTTAATACTTTTTTTAAATGGAAACTTCTTTCTTGCTTTTCTTTGCTTTGGGAGGAAAATTGTTTGTTTGTGTGTGTATATGTATTTAAAATTGAAAATTTGTGTACATAATTTAAAGCAATCACATGAAGGAATATTTTCTGCTAGAAGGATCATGGCCATTACTTAGGGCTTGTTTTCAGTTTTTTAGCTTTTAAAGCCTAAAAAACTTGTTTTTGTTTTCTAGAACGAAAAAACCAAAACTAATTAAAGGTATTTTTTGTTCATTAATGGTATCTACGTCACCAATAGTATTAATATATTGTCTGCCTTCATCACCATGGAGTAATCTAAATTGTTTTTCAACTTTTGTTGTGACTTTTCGTCACTGTCGATGTCATCCTCTTTCGTCTAAAACAATTTTCAAATTAGAGTTATAAAAAAAAAATTCCAACTTATTTTTAAAAACAAATTTTCAAAATTAATCTCTAAAACTGTGTTTTAAAACTAAAAACAAAATTAAATGAAATAAACCCTTAGTTTTTAGTTTTTGTCCATGGCTTCTCATTTTATGGACTGGTTAAACTCTCTTTTCAATACATCTAAGCATAATTTTTTTCTTCTTCCATGTAGATTAACGACCGTTATGAGTTTCCCATGCAACTTGACCTTGACCGTGAGAATGGGAAATATTTATCACCCGAGGCTGATAGGAATGTCCGCAATCTTTACACACTTCACAGGTAATGTTGTGGTAATAGCAGCAGTATTTGTTCTAGACTACATGTTTTTTTTTTTACTGGTCTTATAGTGATCTTTCTGACATCTTTTGATGACTTATTTACTAATTGTGCTGTTTCATGATAAATTATTTGGTTGTCTGTGATTTGGTGCATGGTGCTTGTTTCATCAGAGGTAATGTTGTGGTAATGGCAAAAGTATATATGTTCTCATAATTTTACCCATTTACTTGAGTCAAGTACAATCAACGACTTCTACAATCTAAAGAAAGAAAATAGTGATAAAGTCGGAGAGAAAATGGAAAGAAGAGAAGAATTTATCTTGGGGGAGCCATCTCTGAGTTTTCCAAATCTAGTGGGGATTGAATATTTAAATCATCTTGTAACAATAAAACATTGATTGTTAAGTTTAAAATTTAGAAGTTACCAGTTTTAAAATATTAACTATATTCACAAAATTTGTAATTTTCTGTTTCAATGCTGATGATTTCCCGATAGTGTGCAATTACTACTTTTAATGTGAATGCATATTTTTATCTGGGATGGTCATAATTTGACAGATTTAAATTTTTGCCTCAGTGTTTTGGTTCACAGCGGTGGTGTACATGGGGGACATTATTACGCTTTTATCAGGCCAACTCTCTCTGAGCAGTGGTATGTATACTAGAACTATCCGGTCTGAATTGTTCAGTGTCATATGAGCTAGATGCTTGTGTGCATGTATGATGATGACTACCAGAGGCCACATTATAATATGCTTAAATTTTGATTTTTCTGTATTCATGAAATGCTTTATGGTGTTTGGAGCTTTTAGAGAACTTGAATAAAAAGCTATACCCAATTTGTCAAAATTGAGATCCTACATGGGATTGAAAGGGAATGAATGATTGAAAATTAAAGAATTGTAACATGGTTCATAAGATCCTTCCAAAATACAACTCGTAAAATGAAATATGTGTCATGAGCATGACATTGATAAGGAAAATATCTTGTAAATGATAGCGTTTAACTTAAAACTGCAAATTCTCGTTCATAGATTTATATGGGTAACATTCCATAAACTCATACTAACCTATATAGTGATTATGCAACGTACACAGCACATATGACAAATACTGATTTTTAAGCGTGTTCTATAGATAGTACCCTGTTATTATGAATTAATATAAATACTGCACAGGATATATGTTTTTACAGATTGTTGATACCTACATTTTAATGTATGAACATGAATAAATGATTTTAAAATAGACATACTATTTTTTTTAATATTTTTATTTATAGTGTATAGTATATTAGTCCAATTAGTGTACATAACTCCTTACATTAGATTATTAGCAAATATTTTACAAATGAGACTAGTATTTAATAACCAGCTCACGTGTGAGCTAAAGCATGAGAAATCAATGTTAAAAAAAATCAAAGTCATAACCACAATAAATGAAAGGCAAAATAAAGAGTTTCTTATTACAGATAGATAAAATAATATAGTATAAGGAAAATATTTTGTAAATGATAACATTGAAGTAAACATAAACTGAAAAACCATATTCATAGATTTATGTGCATAGCTTGTATACCATTATTAGTTGTGTGAAGAGTATATCATGCCTTATATCTCAAATGAGTCTGTTGCAAAGGTAAACAATTGAAATGCTGGCAGTTTACATTAGATTGATAATGTATAATGGTTGTCAACGAACTTGGATATAGCACGCAACATTCTGATAGTCCCTACCTTTTTGTTAGTTGAATTGCATTTCTTTCTTTTTGAGCTCTTCACTGTATGCTTTGATTGAATGTGTATGCCTATTAGGTATAAATTTGACGATGAGAGGGTTACTAAAGAAGACACTAAACGGGCATTGGAGGAGCAATATGGTGGTGAGGAAGAGGTAATTGTTTTTTTTTTGCAATTGGCTGTGTCAATTGATCTCCATATTTGTTCATTTACTTATTCATTGTTTAACCTATTTTAACAGTTACCACAAACAAATCCTGGGTTTAACAACACTCCTTTTAAGTTCACCAAATATTCAAATGCTTACATGCTGGTGTATATTCGTGAAGCTGACAAGGACAAAGTAATATGCAACGTGGATGAGAAAGACATTGCTGAACATTTAAGGGTAAGTGATCATTCTTAGGTACTTTGGGCTCAAAATATTGGGCAAAGTCAAATAGTAACAAGTCTTTGTACTGCATTTAAATTTAACTATCAAAATGAATGCAGATGGCTAATTTGTTTTGAGATAAGTATGTTCTATTCAAATGTTACAATCTACTTGATGAGTGTTTTCAACTGAGTTTTTTTTTTTTTTTTAATGTGTTATCTATCTACATATGTGGGGTTAATTTACACCGCTGTAATTTAAGTTATACTTGCTTTTACACAATATAATAACTTTTTGGTGAGTAATTTTCCATAGTTGGATTAAAAGTTCTTATAAAGATAGATTGGAGATCATTTGCAAAGTTTAAGATTAATCCCAACTTTTTTGATGCCTCATTCACGTTGCTGTCACTGTATACACAAACAAACAGAATATTTACTTTTGAAAATTTGATTATCTTATTGTTAAAGTTTTACTAAATTTGAGACAAATAATGTAGGTAATATACAGTTATGATTCAATGATTATATTTGATGAAAACCGCATTTTGTACAATATTAATTTTGGCATGAGAACAGCAGTAATTACACTAATGTAAGATAATTTAAATTCTGCATTAAGCAAACAGTTATTTTTTATTTTTTGTCAGATGTACCTTAGGAGTATCTCAAGCAAAAATCAAACCAAGCTCATCTTGCCGTTGTCTTTTAAATTTCTGTTTTTTTATTATTTCTGCTTCATTCTGGAATATCTGCAATGAATTTCTACAATGGATTAATGCAGGAGAGGTTGAAGAAAGAACAAGAAGAAAAGGAGCACAAGAAAAAAGAAAAGGCAGAGGCTCACCTTTACACTATTATAAAGGTTCCTAGTTGGCTTGTTTCTAACTTGCTATTCTAGAGTTGACTACTGTTTGTGTCTTTACTTATATGTTGTGGGCCGCATAATCAAATTGTATTTAGATATAACTAATAGCATGTGATATTTCTTAGGTTGCACGAGATGAAAACCTTGCAGAGCAGATTGGAAAGGATATATATTTTGATCTTGTAGACCATGACAAAGTGAGGAGTTTCCGTGTTCAAAAACAGACATCTTTTAATGCTTTTAAGGTATCATCTTTTATCACACATTTAGCTCTCCTGCTAGATGTGTATTGACCTGGCATATCTTATTCATTTCTTGTCTGTTTTAATCTGGACTCGTAAATTTATCTTGTTAAGAAGTTGTGTTTTCTTTGAAAAAATTGAAATACATGACAAACTACTCTTCTGAAAAATGCCTTTTCTTTTTATGACTATTTTAAGAGGGGATATATTAATTTGTTCATTGACAGAAAACTATATTATTATAAATGCTGTTGATAGGGAAAAAAAAATTAAGTTATGATTGCAAAAAGGATATTTTTTTCGTAGAACTATTTTTCAAAGAAAGGAAAATACTGTATACTTTCCTTAGGAGGGATTTAATGGCATGAGTTTTCCCCCTTCCTTTCACTAGATTTTGTTCGCAGTTGATGACATGAACTTGGGCTCACAAATTTGAAAAATTATAGAACACATCACAGTTATAATTATACTTAAGCAAATCAATCTAAAATTAACGTAAAATAAAAGTCTTAAATAAAAAAACAGAATTCATGTTTTAAAAAGGACTACAAGTTATTGTGGATTAAACAGTGTAAAAATTCATCTAGTTATTATTCTATTTTAATTTAATTTAGCATTAAAGTTTAAAAATAAAAGAAACAAATATAAAAATGCAATCAAAAGTATATGAAGTATTTATGAAGTGTCCAGCGTGGATACTTATCTAACACAGCAATGACATATTACAACTACTACTAAGAAGTATCCATGTTTTCCTAGATGATTGCTCAAAAGACATCTTATTTTCATTAGTTTGAATTTTTTATCTGATTGCTGTTTGATCTGTGCCATACACAGGAAGAGGTTGCTAAAGAGTTTGACATACCAGTTCAATTCCAGCGCTTCTGGCTATGGGCAAAGCGGCAAAACCATACATATCGTCCAAATCGACCGTTGACACCTATGGAAGAAGCACAATCTGTAAATTCTTGAGCTTGATTGAACCTTTTCAATATTATTTTGCTTAAATACTTCCCTTCAAGCTTTATAACCATTGCTTGTTTACCCCACACACATGTTGAATCTGTTTTATGCTTCATGTCTATAACATGCCAATTTCATGATTGTCCTGGCTGGTTGCTTATTGTAGATTGTATTGTTTGCATTTGACCCGCTTTGCTTTTAATAATTTCATTTCTGCCATGGTTGGGTAGTTGTTTTTCATTTCCTGAAAATGAATAAAGAAAGAAACTGGTACACATATTTTTCAAAATTATTTGTGATCCTGTGGTTTGCCTTTTGTGCTGGGGGTCGTGCGGGCTTCTATTGTTATTTTTATCTTCCCACTTTTGGTACTTAATTTTCTGGCGTGTCTATCTTTATTATCTGAAGCTGTTCATACTTTTTGTTGATCTGATTTGCATTGCAGGTTGGACAATTGAGAGAGGTATCAAACAAGGTTCACAATGCAGAATTGAAATTGTTTTTGGAAGTGGAGCTCGGGCTGGTAACACTTGTATTTATGGAAGTTGTATTCTTTTTTGATTGCATGAACATTAATATCCAAATTCTGTCCTTTTGACACAAATTAAGTGAATATTTAGGATTTACGCCCCATAGCACCACCTGACAAGACAAAGGATGATATATTACTTTTCTTCAAGTTATATGATCCTGAGAAAGAGGAGCTACGGTACTGAGTAATGTCTTTATTCTAACGTGAATGTGGTAAAACGTGAACCTTTTGTTGACTTTATATTTTCCTATCATGGCAGTTATGTTGGGAGGCTGTTTGTGAAGAATACTGGTAAGCCATCAGAAATCTTGACGAAGTTAAATAAAATGGCTGGTTATGACCCTGATGAAGAGATTGGACTATATGAGGTTTGTTTGTGTTCTCTTGGCTAATATTTTATCAGTTGCTAAACATCATACAAATTTTTAGACTGTAGTTCATCCTTGTATGATCTACAACGCTATATATACTTCTTGACATATTAGGCTTGGATTTAGCATTCTTGGTCTCGTTTGGTTAATAGCTAAACTTACTAATGATTGATGACTAATAAAGAGCATTATGTTCCGAAGAAAAGATCTATTCAGTATACGCGTTACCCCAAGATCTATTCTACACATACCTTTATTTTATTTTTAACATTTTTAGATTCTAATCTCAATGAGTTACGCTACTTGTGTGGCATTTTGTGAATCAACTGTGCTGCTAATTTATGCAGGAAATTAAGTTTGAGCCAAATGTTATGTGTGAACCTATTGAAAAGAAAGTAACATTTCGAGCTAGCCAGGTAAATTATAAACACCATTGGTGCACTTTGGGTTATTATCTTTGGTTGGTTCATTGATTTGTGTTTTTCTAAATTTGCAGTTAGAAGATGGAGATATTATATGCTTTCAGAAATCTCCTGCTATATACAATGAAGAACGTATCCGCTATCCAGATGTGCCATCATACCTAGAATATGTGCACAACCGCCAGGTACTTTTATTTTTTGGGTTCAATTAAAGTCAATTTGTATGGATTGATGTGATGCAAAATTGAAAACCACCCAGCATTCAGAAATGTTATCATGTTTGATTTTCTGCTCCTTTCTCTTTGTCCATGCCTGCACATATCTGTATGTTTGTTTCCAATGTACCATGTGAGTTTCATTATGTTTTTACTGTAAGATGTAAGCTGATTTTTTGATATCCAACTTGTTTATTTTAGGTTGTTCACTTTCGATCTCTTGATAAACCCAAGGAGGATGACTTCTGCTTGGAGATGTAAGTATTGTGTAATTTATTGGAGCAAATCATTAGATCTAATGTGTTGAATGTAGTATTAGCTGAGAGAACATGTAAGAATTTGTTTATTATTTTGCTTTGAATTACATCCTTATCATATACTCTGTACATTAATTTTTAGGTCAAGACTCTATACATATGATGATGTGGTGGAGAAAGTGGCTCAACAACTTGGTTTGGATGATCCATCCATAATTAGGCTCACGCCTCACAATTGTTACTCTCAGCAGCCAAAACCCCAGCCTGTTAAGTATCGTGGTGTGGAGCATTTGTCTGAAATGCTGGTTCACTACAATCAGGTAATTATTGACATAATGCTCAATCTTTCATTTTGTTTCTTGTTTAAAATCAAACAACTTATTTACCTTCATGCACGTCAGACTTCGGACATATTGTACTATGAAGTACTTGACATCCCTCTGCCAGAATTGCAAGGTTTGAAAACTCTGAAAGTTGCATTTCACCATGCCACCAAGGATGAAGTAAGTATATAGTGTCCTAATTTTCTTTTGGTTTTTTATCTAGAATTTTTATCTGACCCTTTTGTAATTGTTTATTCAGGTGGGGGTTATTCATACCATTAGACTCCCAAAACAGAGTACTGTGGGTGATGTCCTTGATGATCTGAAAACAAAGGTGATTTTGCATTAGTATTGTTTAGTTCATTAACATGCCTAAATTGTATTTTGCTGAACGCTGAAATTACATCATCAATCTCCTCTTTATTTTAAAAAATAGATACGTAAATCATGTTTACCCAACAAAAAGTTTGTTCTTGAAGTAGCGATTATTTAATATACTGTTGTCAACTTTTCTTTTCCTCCCTAGTTTGTGATTTTTCACCTTTTATTGCTTAAGTATGTCTTGTGCTCATTATTATTGTTATTACAGGTGGAATTGTCCAACCCTGAAGCTGAGCTTAGGTTGCTTGAAGTTTTCTATCACAAGATATACAAGGTGTTGTATTACCTCTATTTTAACCAATCTAGATTTATTTCTTATTCCTTCATATTTTCTGACCAAAATTATCAAGGAATTGGAATTCAATTACATTGATTCGTGATCCTCCAATTGTGTTACTGAAAAGTATAGAACATTAGTCCAATTTTCTTATTGATATGTATTCATTTTATCCTGCTTCTCTGCTTGTGCAGGTTTTCCCTCCCAGTGAGAAGATTGAAAACATTAATGATCAATACTGGACATTACGAGCAGAGGAGGTAGTAGTCTCTTTCTGTTTTCGAGTGGGCTGGGAAGGGAGGAGTTAGATTTTAGTCCATGAAGTGTTCTTGCTTTTATTTACTCAAATCATTGCATAGTTGATTTTTCTAAATACATACTCAGTTGCAGTATTCATTTGATTTCATTTTATGTAACAAAATAAATTAGTCACTGTCCTTGTGGTATTGCAGATTCCAGAAGAAGAGAAGAATCTGGGTCCTCATGATCGTCTAATTCATGTGTATCATTTCACCAAAGACACGGCTCAGAACCAAATGGTACCTAATTGAAAATGATTCAGTTTGCTTAGTGCAGTTTAAAATATTGTAATGCTTTGATAATTCATTCTGATTAGTTGTATGCTGAACCACTTGTAATGTTTTTCCCATTTTATTTGTTATAACAGCAAATTCAGAACTTTGGGGAACCATTTTTCTTGGTCATTCATGAAGGGGAGACTTTGACTGAAATTAAAGTACGAATACAGAAGAAACTTCAAGTTCCTGATGATGAGTTTGTCAAGGTATTTTTATTTTTTTGTGTTCTGTGGTTATATTATGTTCCTTCTCTCTTGGGTAATTTTGCTTTGTATGATGGAAGTTTCATTGTACGTAGATATTATTAAATTTGATGTTAGTTTATCTAATTTTTATTATATTTCTTGTTTGGCCAGTGGAAATTTGCCTTTTTTTCTTTAGGGCGTCCTGAGTACCTTCAGGATTCTGACATCGTATCCAGTCGTTTTCAGGTAGATCCATTTATTCGTGAATTCCTTTTTTCATTGTAGTTTGTCTTAATTCGATTGATATTTCATAACATTCATGTTTGACTTATTGTATCTTGTGATATAGAGGAGAGATGTTTATGGTGCTTGGGAGCAGTATCTTGGCTTGGAACATACTGATAATGCTCCTAAGAGATCATATGCTGTTAACCAGGTTAGTAACCTTGTCTACAAGAACTGATTTCGTCATTACATTTTTTCTTCTCTAGTTTTTTTTTTTTTTCGGTTGAGTTTGTCTTCTGTTCTGGTAATACTGGGTTTCAGGTTTGAAGTTTTAAAAAACTTCTTTTATTACATTTCAAATTTCATTGGTTTTGTTTCAGAATCGCCATACTTTTGAGAAGCCAGTAAAGATTTATAATTAGGATACTTGGTATTGATGTGTCTCTCGTCTTGCGTGGGATGAATTTGGCATTCTTCTACATCTATGGGCTTGTAAAAACAGGGGAAAGAGCGAAAGGCTACTCTGTATAGGCCAACTAGTGAGATCAGCAATCCAGGTGGTTTCTGCAGGTTTTATATTAAATTGTGGTATGTAATTCTTTCTGTCAAAAGGAGTGACATTGCTCTCAACACTATCTGCTGACCACAGTCCGTTGAGCTTTACTACTTCCCACTTTGTGTGGAAGTTCTTCAAGTTGAGGTCATTGATCATCATCACTGCACTGTATCAGTACATAAGATTTTTGGATTAGTGAGTGTATACAGGGTATAGTTGGTTGACTTTTTGTTCATCTTAATTGCTTCCAGATTTTGTTCAGTTAGTAGTGGTCTTTAAGTGAGGGCTGTGAAATGGTGTAGCAGAGCTCATGTAATGTTGTATAAGAGATTTGTCAGCTTCAGTATAACCCGATAGCATAAAATATAGCTTCCTGCCGCACCATTTAGTCCATTTCCTTGTTTACATATATATATATATATATATATATATATTTTTTTTTTTTTCTTTTTTCTTGTTTCTTCCTGACACCTGACCATCTTTAAAAAGAGGTGAATAAGCGTGACCATAATATTCTCAGTTAAATTTAGAGTAAAAGTATATTGGTATTTGGGTTAAAGCCAGAAGTGCCTATTCCGTCAATTCATATATTAAACTTTGTTGCACATAATGAAAATAAGATAATCTGAGATAATAGGTATCCTTTCTCACTAAATCCAGATTAATTTCTTATGATGCGTATTTGGAAGCATTTATTTTAACGGTTCATAGAAAAGATACAAGAGTTGCAATATGACTAGATCTTCACAATTCTGTGTGAAAAGTAAAATGGAGTAGCTGTAAAATGGTTAGTGCTGACTCATCATAATACAGTATCAAAGACCGTGGTTTTATTGCATCAGATTTGGGTATATAAATATAGGGTCTTGGAATTTTGACAGCTGGTGGTGTATTTGCAAATATAAACGAAGAAAACATGTGTTTTTACACCGTTGGGGTTTTATGTTGTGTATTGGTAGATTTTATTACCAACCGCTTCTCCAAAAAATTGCCTTGTGTTTGTACGAACCTGTCATAAACGTTTGACTAGCAATTAAAAAACATCTTTAAGCTAAACTGTTTTAAATTCTTAAAAATGATTTATTTTTTAAAACAGTCATCCAAAATACATTTTAGGCACATTTTTTTATTATGATTACCAGATTACAAAGCACTAAAATTTGTCAAATCAGATTTTTTTAGTCAAATATATGTAGTAAAAGACATAAAAACATTTGTAAAATTAAAAGAAAAAAATAAATGTGGCGTTGATAATATAAATTAACATTTTAAAATACAATTTATTAATGGAAAAATAAATTTAATAGTTATAATAATTAGGTACTTTTTTTAAGAAAAAAATATGAAGTGCATTAATAAATATAGTAGAGTATAATTTTAATTTGCTGTACCATTATTAAAGACATGATTCATATAGTTAATAACCTCAATTTGCCAAGAAATCTCCATGAGATAGGCTCCAAGCAGACGTGTCCAAGTGACAGATGGCAACACCACAGTTCACCTTGCCCTTGCTTTTCTGGTCCAACAAGTCCGCTTCTTAGACCCGAACCTCTCCCACGACTCATCCCATTCACCTTCGACCCTTCACATTCACTATGCGTTTCGAACCACAACGTTGGAACCCAACATCCCTGTCACGAAGTCCACCATATCGTGGATGGACCCCACTCACCTCTTCGTCTCACCTTGGCTCGTTGGTCTCTCGCACTCGGTCGCCGAATCCATGACAATCTTCTCCAATCAGGAACCAACACCAACATCAAAAGCCCGGTTCACCCCATTAACGGTAAACGGTAACTTAGACAAAATTACCGGGGGCAAAAGCGACCTTTTAGGCATTTTATCTCTAATATCCGGCATCGCCATCACCGTTCCTTCCTTGGGCAGAGACTCCCGAAAAAACTTACCCACTGTTGTTTATAGGAACAAGTATCATCATGGTCAATTGTCATGTGTGATATATGGTCAACTTGGAAATTCTAGTCATCTTTGTCCGATAGGTAAAAATCACATACGATTTTGTCCTTACCAACGTTTAACCGGGTTAAGCGAAGAGGGAGCCGTAGTTTTAAAACGAGTTTTGCTTCTCGTTGCCGCGTTTTCCGTAACGCGCGAACGATTGTTCGCGGCTATTACCGTTCTCGGTGTATCCTGCGAAGGATTGGATTCGTTTCCTGTCGTCGTCGGGGTAGGAGAGGAATTCGAGGTCGTCGAAGCCGTTGACGATTCGGCGTAGCTTTGTAACTAGAGGTGGCGGCGGTGGCGCCGCCGCCGTAGCTGCGGAATGTGTCGTTGGTTATGTTGCCGAAGGAGCCGTTGGTTATGAAATCGTCGCTGTGGTTTGTGGAGGTTTTACTGTATTGGCGGAGGTCGTTTTGAGGGCCGTTTTCGCGCTGGTTATCAGAGTAGTTCTTGAACGAGTCGAGTCCACCGAGTCGACTCGTTCCGTAGTTGGAGAAGTTTCTGTTGATGTGGACAGCAAATTTGGCGTTTCTGTTGGTCGGTTCGGCGGAGAGAGAGTAAGGTTTGGAATATCAGAGTAAGCGTGCGGCGGACCACAAGCGCCGAAGGTGTGCGGAGAGGGTGTTGTTGAAGGCAAGTTTGGCAAAGGTGGCGGTTTCCGCGGCGGTGAGTGGGGAGGCCTTGGAGAGAAGAAAGTGTGGCTTTGGTAAGTTATTGGTGATTTTATTGTCCCGGTAATCAATTAAGAAAGCCATCGGGGTGTGTTGGGAGAAAGAAGTGGGAGTGCAAGTCGCACGTTGAGCAACACGTTGAGCACGAACGAGGAAATTGAGTAACAGGAAAAAAAGAACATACCATAACTTAATGTTAAGATTTTCTGTTGAAGGTGACATTTCTTGAAGGGTTGGACTCTGGTCGCTAAATTCCTTCGAAAGATTTATCATTGGTATAAGACCAGATGGTTTGTGAGGTATGGTGTGGTCTCTGTATCAATGTGAAGAGACTCAAATAGAGATTAATGTCTCAAAGTTTTGTGTTGAAGTGAATTCTTTAGGTGGTTCATGATTAGGTTTTGGTCTCCGTTGAATTCCCTACCCAGGTGAAAAGGTTTTGGTCTTCGTCTCTGAGCTGCAAACCTGCAATATTCATATTGGTGTCGTTGGATAATGAATATCAATAACAGAAATATTTAGAACAGTAAGAGTAACCAGTGAAGAGTTATGCTTCAAGAAATATTGTGCATGTTCATAGATTTTACAGGCATTAACATAGAATTGTGTGAGAGTTGTGATGTGAATGGTGATTTTGGGGTGTGGACTTATACTACTTAGCTGGTGCTACTGTTGTGTTGTGTGATTAGTAAGACAGTACGTAGTGGAGTGGAGGGTGATAGGTTGACTATGGCACTATTCAGTGAGGCAAATTGAAGAAACAGATATACATGGTATGAATGCTGTATTGAAAATTTTAGAAAGAGTTTAGAAAAATGATTTGACCTCTTGTGCTTAATTCTTTGTAACATTGGAGACTGGACCATAACAAGATAATTTGAAGCTTTATGAGCCGACAATGGCGGCTGGTGACACTGCCATGCCATACATGAACTCACATCTGCTCAAATGAATCCATTAGTTCTGTCAAATTTATTATCAAAGGTGTCATAATGAACAAATTCATTATCAAATATGAACATGCTTTGTATTTATGAAAGAACTTTTAGCATGTTTATATCAAATTCAATAATTATAAATGTTTAATGTATTGTAATTTATTCTTTTTCAAACAATAATTTCTTTGTGTTTATGAACGTTTAATTTTTTTTCTATTTATATATGGTCTTTTAATTTTTTAAAATTAATAATTTTAGTTCACTATTTGTATGTTATGTAATTCATTACAGGAAGTATTGATTGATGTGTTTGTAACTATACGTACTTAAGTAGAATATTAATAGCAGTATTTAATACTAAATTAACATTTATTGTCACTGAAAATACTTTAATTTTTTATTAGTAATTAAATAATATATTAATATTGGTCTAAAATTATTTAAAATTTGGAAAACTGGAGAATCAACGTTATTAAAGAAAAATGTCTATTTTATGGGTGTTTCATCTCATGAGTGATAGGAGGAGGTAGGCTAAGCCCGGTTAGAAAAGGCCACTATATTTATTTTGTTTGGGTTATCACTTTACTCCAGGGATCTAGTATGGCCCAGGCCCATGAGTAGTAAGAAAACCTTTAACCACTTTTTTTTTTTTTAGATTATTAAAATTTATTTTGATAAATAAATTAAAGAATACCAAAATATGCAAAACAAAAGAAAGAAAGAAAAAAAAAAAAAAAAAGAAGAAGAAAGAAAGTGGCGGAACTCTGTGAGAACGAGATGTGACATGTTTGAAGAGCTTAGCTCCACATACTAATATTATTATTATTATTATTATTTGATTTTGTTTTATCAATGGCCACTCTTCCTTACTGCACTCTGCATCCTCTATCTTCTTCTCTCACTCCTTCAAATTTGGTTCACTTTTGTCCATGCTCTTCCAAACGTTCTTCTTCTCTTCTCCAATTCCCCTCCATTCTCAGACACAAAGTCACCCAGAAGCCTAGGTTGTTGATGATCGTCCACCCCATTTTGCTCTTTAACGGCGTCGCCACCACTTTCTATTTCGACACGCAAACAGTCATCGTTACTGTCAGTGTTTTGGCCGCCATTGCTCTTTCTCTCTTCCTTGGCCTCAAGGTCTCCATTTTCATTCTTTTAATTCTGGGCTTCCCTTACTTCAAATAAAAATGTTTTTTTTTTTATTATTATTATTATTTTCTTTTTCAGATGTAATGTAACACTTTTTGTTGTACTATAAGACAGACGTGCATTTATTGTTTATGTATTTAGTTATCTCTGAGTTCAGAAATGGCTCCAATTTGCTAATTATTTCCTTTTATTGAATAATATTTCCTGGTTTTAATCAAGATTGTCACCGCAACTTTAGTTTTGATTTTGGAAAATTGTGGAGTCTGCATGAGAAATGTGAGAAGTGATGTGATTGATAGAAAACATAGAAAGAGACATTAATGAAATAAGGGGGAACTGAGGTATAAGAGAAATTTAATGTACAGTTGTAACACTTACAATTATCTCTTGGATCTTCTGGGTTTTGATTTGATAATGTGAAAAAAAAAAAGCAATTTTTTTTTTTTTGAGAGGGGTAATATAGAATGCATATGCCCGCCCTATTGCATCAACATTGAATTACAATTAGCAATAACATTGTGGGTTAAAGTTGATACTCCTGTTTGGTAATGAGAGATGGGGTTTTGCAGGGTGATCCGGTGCCTTGTGAGCGATGTGGTGGCAACGGTAATTATCTTTCTGCTTTTTAACTTAAATATTGTTGTGCTTTTGTGTTGAATTTCTATGGGAATTATTGAAGCATGAATCATGATCGTAACAATATAAACATTTTAGGAAATTGGTAACAGGATATCATTATTCATGCGGTTAGGACATTGACTTAAATCATCGTAGTTGGGGGTAACGATTGTTTTGACTGAGGATACTTGGGATATGCTTGAATGAGCAATTGAGAAGGTAGAAAATAACAACTTTGGAAAGTTATTGGTCAGAGTTGGAAGGAGATTATTTTATCTTCCTACTCTTCATATTTTTATCATATAAATGGAATGTGTAGTGGTTTTTATGTGAAAATCTTCATCTCTTACTTTCCACCTATTCAAGCAAGCAGATATTTAGGGGGATGTGGTTTAGATTTCAAAAACAAAATGCCTGACTATTTGTGTTTTTATAAGGGGAGTGAGTGGCAAGTGCCTTGTGCAATTTCTTTGCTTTCTGAAGAAATTAAAATAAGAAAACCTTGCATGAGAAGATTTTGAATCAGGTTCACCTGTAGAAGTTTGTGAATATGATGTTCGAATTTTGGCTTGATGACAGGTGTATTGTGCTTCTCAGCTACTATAATCTTATGATATAGAATACAAAGCATCCACCAATTGTTTTTGCATCAAGATTGCCCTTCTATTATCTCAATAACTGCAAAGTTTTTGTTCTTCTTACCCCTTTTCACCCATGCTTTCTTCCTTTAACTTTGACATGCAATTTTACATTGCATATGAAATAAAGGGCAACTCGTGCTAGTACTTTTGACAGAAGAGACTATTTTGAATAACATTGCTGACAAACAGGTGGGACAAAATGTGTGTTTTGCGACAATGGCAAGATGAAGCAAGATATGGGATTAATTAACTGTAAAGTATGCAAGGGTTCAGGTATCTCTTTCTGTTATAATATGCCTCAAACAAATTATTATGATTGCATTTGTTTACATGAATATTTTGGGTTCTTCCTTTCATTTTACCACCTTTAAGAAATTATTTGATGTTGATAAAATCAATTTATTCTATCCCCCTCAAGGAAAAAAGAAGAAGAAGAGAGGTTATACTCTTTTTTCCCACGTTCAAAAATGGCTTACTTAATAATGTCTTCACTGCCCTTTCTGTTTATTTGTGTTTCCACTTTATAGGTTTGATATTCTGCAAGAAATGTGGAGGTTCTGGCTATTCCCGTCGGCTATGAGCTATTAAATTCCTGTTATATATTAAAACCATCTGTTCTGAAATATGTAAGATCTTGTACAATTTTATCGTTCATAGTGTCCTTTTCTGTGAATCATTTTAATCAGGTTTTTCATAAAATCACTCAATTTCTTATCTAATAAATTTGTAGCAATCATCAAAAAGTTATGAAGTTATAAAGGTGGCAAAGTTTGCCTTGAAATTGTTTATTAAAAAAGCATTTTTTAGGCCTTTACACAGCTCGCAGTGGTGATTCCAAGGCTACAATTCTGTTTAATTGATATTTTAATGAGTTTTACATGTCACATCACAACCAATATTTTTCATTATTTTTCTTTTAAAGTGAACTATGTTATTAAAAAAGTTATTATTTCTGGTACGAAAGAAAAAAAAAAATCACAGTTCATTTTACTTCTGAAATATATGATGCACCATCACTTTCCATTCCAAACTCTCACCTCTCTATTCATGTCAATGCCAACAACAGATATCCTACCAAGGGAATAACTTATTATTATTATTATTATTATTATTCAATTGTTGTAACTAGTATTCTAGGTTTTGTATTGCTTAAGATAAATATTTATTTTTTATAAAATTATAATTTAATTCATACTTATATCTTCAATTTATGATAAATAATTAAATTATGATATTAGATAATTTTTAAATTAAAATAGATAAACATTTAAAAAGATAAGAGGATAGGATGAGAGATTGAGAAAGATATTTTTATATAAATTTGAAAAACAAAATGCATTTTTGTTAAGAAAGAGGAGAAAAAAATTATAATAATCCTTGATTGAAAAGGTAAAAGATAATATATTTTCTAATCATGAAACTTTTTTAATTTTCATATGCAATTGGTATGATTGTAGTCTAACTTCCAAATCTGATTGTGATTTTTTTTTCAATTGATTTTGTAAGGAAATTGATTTAGGTTTCTTTCATTTATTATTAATATAAATTTATTTATTTTGTATTCAAGGATGATTTATCTCTTATTGATTTTACTCTATGAACCAAGTAATATCTTAATTAGATTAAAAATTAATATTACAGTATTTATATCAAAATAACTAATTAAAAATATTTAAATAAAATTAAAGAAATATACTTTTAATTTTAAGTCTTATTAATAAAATTAACATTCATTTTAAATATAATAATTTAATATATAAATTATAAAAAAATATTTTTAAAATAAGAATTCGAATTTATCTTTATCTATCATCATTTATTTAAATAATTTAATTATTTAAAATAGTAATTTATTTTAATAATTAAATCTTGAAAAAGTAAAAGAAATATGTTAAAAACTTATTCTTATATTTATTTTTAAATTATATGAATCTTATATTAGATTAATTTATAATATATATAATTTTAAATAAAATAATAATATTTTTTTATTTAAAAATTATTATTACTTTATAAAATATATTCATCTATAAATTTATGAATTAACATAATGCAAGTTTTTATTTATAAAATTTTTAACATAGTCTAATATATTTATGGAGCAAGTACTTAATAAATGAAAAGAAAAAGAGAATATGAAAGAAAGTACTCAAGTTGTCTCATTATTTAAATAATTGTAGAACTGAAAAAAATACAAATTTTATTGCTGAACTCACCACCTAAATTCTAGTATTATACCAGAAAATCCTCACAAATCAATACCTTGGATTAACTAAATTAAATCTTCATTTAATTTTTTTAAATAAACAATTGATGAATCCGACAAATAAGTCTTATTTTAATTATTCGACAATGACGTGTACTAAGTGCATTTATTGAGTTTGATTATTTTCATGTCTAATTAGAGGGTTGATAAATCTGACAAATAGGTTATTTTAATCATTTGACAATGACATGTACTAAATTAAATTATTCATTGAATTTGGTTAGTTGTATTTCATTTCTATTTTGAAGGGTTTAAAATGAATAATGGAACGAGAGGATGAAAAAAAAAAAAAAAAAAAAAAAAAAAAAAAAAAAAAAACTTTTTTCTCAATTGAAGTACGGTGGGGATTTGCATTAAATCTTCCCAACAGCCACCAAATAGTTGTCAGTGGACAGAAAAAGGTTACATAAAGTTTACAAACAACTTAGTACAAATAATGGGAAGATTATGTCTGTTATTGAAAAAGATATTTCTTAGGATGTGTAGAAATAATGGTAGGTAGACAGCAGGAGCAGCTGCAACTGAAAACAGAAATACAGTTTTTTTTTTTTTTTAAATCTGATGGGGTAACTGAATTGGTGAGAAAAAAAATTGTGTTTAGGATTTAAAAGTTTAATTGGTATAAATATATTTAATAAAATAATATTTTTATAATATAATAAATTTATTAGTAATAATATTTTTATAAAAAAATAATAATAAAAAGTATGTTTGCCTACATAGGATTTTTTTGGACAGAGGAAAGCTCGTTCTGTTAAATAAAATTATCAATTTATTATTCTGTACATTTTTTTCTTTTAATTCAAAAATAAAAAGTAACTACTTTTTCTTGTCTTCTTTCCTACCAAATAAAAAAATACTATTAAACTAGTCACCAATCAGTCACTCAAAATTTGACCTGAATATTTCTGTTATATTCTTCATTGAAAACTCCCCTGCTTTTGATTTATATACAGAAAAAGTAGCAGAGTTATGATATTATATAGCAATGCCACCAATAGTGAGCTTCAAACTATCTAATGCTAGTATTATTATGCTGTGCATTAAAGATGTGATTTTTATCACATTCCAACTCACTCACTTGTTCATTTACCTTTCCAATACCAGTGGCAGTTAATGCTTATGCGAAGTGCCACTCAAGGTGATAATGAACCGCTATGTTTGCTAGGCAATGGTGTGTTCCTCCGGGACTGGCGTTTTGTTTGTACAACTACTGGCTCTTGCTCTTCCCATTTTTCGCTCATTACTTCACTGTCACTGTCATCATCACCTTTAAACACAGGATGGATATATGCATTCTGAAGGAACTCTTTCAAATTGAAGTTTGGTTCTCTTGCACGCTCCAATGTGTCCTTCTTCATTGCTTCCTGAAGTTTCCATCAAAAGGGACAATTAACACGAATTCGGTGGAGAAATGGATGAACTAAGATGCCATGATCAAGAAAAGTATAGAAAAGGCTAGTTCAAAACAAAGGGTGTCCAAAAAACATTTTTTTTGTTTCTTGCAAAGTTAAAAATTGTATGCCAGTTGCAATATCAGGCAGGACTAACCTGTAATGGATGCTTTATGAAAGCAGGTTCATATCGTCCCTTGCAATACAAATGGAATGATATTGTCAATACTGGGAGAGTGATGAGCAATGGAGTTGAGTTAGCAGCTTCTTTTGTACTCAATAATCCCATTAACAGAAGCTGTGAGATCACTAATGCAAATATAATTCGTCCATGGACGTCAGGCCAGAATGCTGCAGCACTCTCATACTCTTGGTTGTAGACATTTATTATCTGCCATTCGGATATCACGCATTAACTTAGATATTAAGAACTTCGATTGAAACACCTCTCACATAGAAAATAAGATCATACTTTTAAGTTATATGTAGCAGTTGAAATTTTAATAAACACTAGCTAAGTTCTAGGGTCATTCTGTAAAAACACAAACTAAATGCATAGAAACAGAATCATTTCATGAACCAACTTTTACCTGATGACGGTAGACGACATATGCAAAGCCAAAGAACACTATGATGTATGGAAGAAGAAATGGTGTGACCACAGCATACACAAGGCCAAGTAAGAAATAAAGTTGTATTTGAGGTTCTCCTGTATTGAAACCAAATGTCCCGGGATCCATTGCTTCTTCACGGTCCTTTTCAGTCTTCACTAAGAAGAAATTCTTCAAGTGATAAAATATCAATGGCTTCAACCTTAAAATCTCACCAGCACATCCAGCCCACCCATCCACCATTATGTAAGTTATGAAGAATGTTGCCTTCATTGGAATTGAGACACCAATTGTTATTGGAATTCTGCATACATGGCATGTGTTTACATTAGGTTATTGAAAGCTATTTCTGTGATTCTTTTACAATTATCTAACTGTGTATTAGAATGAGCAAAAATCAATTAATTCAAGGTATAATTTACAATTGCAAACATACATGAAAACTAAATGTAGTATGCATTCCGTAAAATCTGAAGTCTTTTCTACAGTTGAAGATGCTTAATAATTATAATAGTTGTACTAGGTGGGCTTACTCATTTGCTGACTGGTGGATAAATTTATCTAGCTGTTGGAATGCTGTCCCAGTGATAATGCTCCCAAGAAATACATTAATGAACTGGAAGATGTAATATCTTGTCGCTGCTCTCCTTTCCAGAGCAGAAGTGCTGATAAAGCCTTCGAACTTGGACATTACCATCAATATTGATGGCAGAAATATGAGAAAAATCTTCAAAGCAATACCAGGAAGGAAACCTTGTATGAACGATTTTATGAATTTCCTGCAATAAAAAGAAGCATAAGATTAGTTTCCGCCACAGTCACCATTAAGGTATCAAAGAGAACCATAGGGTTATCTGTAATAATTTGTTCTTGGGTCATATTAGGTAAGACATAAAACCTCCAACATATTATGCAGAAAAGGAAAACAAGATGACATTGAAAATAAAGGACACTTACATTTCAATAAATGATTTCAAGAAAGGTGCTGCTTTTTCGATGCCTTCAATGTTTGCCAGTGACTGAACAAATGCAATGGGGATCATGAAAAAGAATGTCAGAAAGAAGAAAGCTACAGCAATTATAAGCCTCCTTATTGTGAGTGAAACATATGGTATTGCCATGTTATCCCAATATACATCACGAGGTTCCGGAGCCCACTCAGTCAACCACTCTGTTGGATTTCTTGACTGTTGAGTTTGTGCACAAACAGCTGCACCCCAACGAGTTCGAAAGGAAACAAAAGCGGCTGGCATTACATATTTAGGATTCTTCGTCACCTTATCTTTCTCCAGTTCTATCTGAAAATGCA